CAAAGAACAAATAATGCCCATACTTTACCATGGAAGATTGTGAGGTTAAATGTGTTTGAAGTTTAATGTCTGTCCTTACTTGTGGGTGAAGGTGATACATGAGTAAAGCCTTAGGCTTGTCTCCAGTGGCTGATTCCACGCTTGGAACTCCATCGGGCAGAGGGTGTATCTATAGGACCCTTCTCGAGGAGGAAGACTTGGCTTTCTGTTTGAGGTGGGAGAAGAAGAGAGACAGGATATTTGTTTAACAGAATAGTTGGTAGGATGTGGTCATAGGAGGGTTTTGAGCGTTACACTAAGAACGTTTCCTGACTATATTTCTGTACCATCAGCTTGTCAAGAGATTAATAGTCACTGTGTGAAACAGAGTTAAATTAGGGGGTTCTGCTATTTGTTCAATATAAATTTTAACCATCACAGGATTTGAATTATAAGGTGACTGAGTGTTTTGTGGCCATGCAAAACTTCTGTCTCCTGGAATTACCATATGCAGGTGTTTCTGCAATGTTTGAGGCCAGTTTTCTTTCCTTCTCCAGAATCATCTAACAGACTAATAAGATCTTACCCGTATTCTGGGTGTTGATTTGTGTTTAGGTTGGCTAAAAGTGAATCTTTAGGATCAGGTCTGAACACTTAATGTTATACATTCATCGACTTCTGTAGGACTGGTTATGTAGTTACAGTTGTGCTTAGGTGGTTTTTGGCTTAGACTCAGTTAAGGCATTACTGGCTAGGAAAATCTGTATGTATTACAAGGTAGGAGGGCAGCTCTGGGGCTTGGGGGCAATGTTGGAAACACTTTGGGCGAGCAAAACCCCAACACTAATATAGTGGATCAGCTTCCCAACTAAGCCTTGCATTTGAAATCCAACCTGGAGTGCATGTGACGTGTGACTATAAAACTGATTGTACTGGACTGAACAAAAGGCCGGTCTGTTGTGGCAGCATGGCTCTGACAGTAAGCAGTGAGGAATGCTCATGGAGAAGTGCAGAACCAAGGCAAACATGCTGGTAATGCTATTTGAGTACCTTACTGCACGCTGCTGTAACCTGACAGCTTGAGCTTTTTGCTTTTCCTTTTGGTCATGCCTTAAATTTATGCAAGATACCTTCTCCCTTCTAGTGCTTCCCCTCCGATCTGACTGACTTCCTAATTTTTTTCCTTTTGAACTTTTAGTATGTTGTCTTTTAATCATTGTCTCACAGTCAGTAAAGACTTTATCCTTTCTGTTAAAAGGAAACTAAGCTGCAACCAACTTCTTCATAGTTCTGTAGTTCCCCTCTTAAATTTAACCTCAGTAACGGTGTACTTCTCCCTTTTACTGTTTCTGCAGAGATAGTGAGTTGGAATACCCTGCGATTCATGAGCAGGCATGGATAGTGTCTTCTATTTAGTCTTCACAGAACACCCCCAGTTGAGAGTTTTCCAGTCTAAACTGGTTAAGCAAAGAATTCCTATAATCTCACTTCTAGAGGAGTTGTCATCTTATATCATCTGCAGTTCTGAATTTAGCAGCTTCCCTCTGCTGCTTCAGTCCGTTAACCCTTTCTGGGCCATTCTCATTTCAAGTGCCAGCAATGAGCTTCCATCTTGACTGAGATGATGTCTCTCCTGTTTATAGGGGGTTCCAGAAGGTTCCTCCTTTCTTCTTACAATATTTGCTCAGTCATACACTGGATTCGTAGTCTTCAAAAGGTACCCCACTTGCATTAGCTTCACATCCACATTTTATTTAGCATAACAGATGAACTCATACATTTTTTTGCTTGTTGCAAGAATATTTCTGGAGTAGAAATAATATTCCAGTTTGGATAAAGAATAGGATTACTTGTTTTCAAAAAGCTGTAAGTACATCTGATAAATGTTATGGAAAACTATACACACTTGAATCTTTATCCTCAGAAAGAGCTGAGCCCCTGGGGCTACTCTTGAGTATTGCAATGAGTGAATGAAAAATTGCTTGGAAGAGAAGTCATACTCTCCCAATTCTTTATTTACCTTTTTCATTTTATTATTGACAGAGAATGGGTATCATTTCCCAGTTTAATAGGATTGCTGGATTTCATAATGGAAAAGTGGAATCCTTGCCCGCAGTGTCTGAAGACATTACTTTTGAGGAAGTGTTTTCAACAGTAACACAGACCAATTCCACCATATTTGTATAGTTTCTGTGAGAGGACATGAACGGACTGGAGCCAGACTGTGCTAATTTGATTTGTGTCAGGCCAGGCTGGAAACCACAACTGGTTTTACAGTGCCTTGGAGTACTGGAGTCCGCTCGTTGTCCAGAGCAGAGAGCTGCTGCACGCTGTGGTTGTCTGGCCATCTCTGGGGTTTATTTCTGCAGAAGCAATGGCAAAGCTCATTTTAATGTGTGTCTTTCCAAGAGGTGTGGTTGGGGTATGTCTGCGTACACATGCAGCAGGATTTTCATGGTGCTTTTGCGTCTTTCAGCTCAGATGCAGCCTACAGCACCGCTCTTTGGATCAGCAGCAGCAGCAGCAGGGTGGGATCCTGTCGCTTGTGTTTCGGGGACTAGATCTCTGCAATAGCCTGCAGTTACCTTTCCAGCTGCTGATAAAATCAGGAAGAGCCTTAGAGCTGATTGCTTCAGAAGAGGGTTGTATCAAGGCTTGTGTTCATTATGTGGTGGAGGCTGGAGAACTGTTCCAGCAGTAGAACCACGTGCATCTTCCCTGCATGCAGTTATCCCGCTCTGCCCAATGTTAGACTAAGAGAGCCTTTGTTTAACCTAAACAGGGGGTTGCAGGAAATTGTCCCATGTGAAAGCTGCCATTTTTCTGTGATGTTTTGAAAATTGCTATGGTGGGAAAGGGAAAACAAACCTCACCCATCTTGAGAACTTCCTCAGTGTCTGCTAAATTCTTTAACAAGGTTTTTGCTTTTAATTGGGCTGTTCAGTGTCAGGGAGCTTTATTCTGTTTTCATTCAATTCATTAAGAATGCCAGTCCTGCAGCCTCTTGTAGCAAGAGGCTTTCCCTTTCTGCCTCTTGCAGCGAGAGTTTGCAGAATTCAGCATCAGCAGTGGCTGCCCTGATCTACAGGAAAGCTTTGGGATGATTTAGCTTGGGAAGTGCCACTTATAGCTGGTTTGCCAGTTCCACTTCAGGCTGCTGAGCTCTCTTTGAGCCTGGTGGTGACTTTGAACCACTTTTTCAGCCCTGTTCTAGACTGTTGTTTCAGTCTAGTGTATCACAGAACCCCAGCCTGGCTTGGGTTGAAGGGACCTTAAAGCTCCTCCAGTTCCAACTCCCTGCCAGGCAGGGACACCTTCCACTAAAGCAGGTTGCTCCAAACCCCTGTGTCCAACCTGGCCTTGAACACTGCCAGGGATGGGGCAGCCACAGCTTCTCTGGGCACCCTGTGCCAGCGCCTCAGC